CATCAGCTTCACCACCACGAGTTCTGGTTGCCCGCAACGCGAGCATCGAGCCGGGCAAGGACGCAGTGCTCAGCTGTGCCGTGTTCAGCACCGTCAACGACGTCGAGGTAAAGTGGTATCGTGGACTCGAACCCCGATTCGAGCTACGCCCCGGAAAGACAAGCCGGTACAGCATTCAGACGGATAGAACGCTTGGCAATGCTATCAACAGCACCTTGTCCATCACGTAAGAAAGTCAGTGGATGATGTAAGAATAAGAGAGGTAAATATAGATATAGAACATAAAGTGGAGAAATTGAGAGCAAGGAGCCGGCTCTGGCAAAAAGCGGACATATTTTTGCCTCTGCCTAATCATGCTGAGGCGAGCTAGGTTTGCATAAATTGATTAGGAGTCAGCCTTGGTGGCATTTTTTTGATTCCCAGAGAGCAGACAAACAATTTGTTGTCGGGAGTTTCCTACAGTTATTTTCTATATATGATGGTTTTTAAGGTTAAATATAATCAAAAGCTTCACATATTTTCATAATTGATGCCATGATCAAGAGTTGAATAAGTTATTGCTACTTTAATCTCGTAAGTAGTATGTTGACTTGTGGCACAATCACATAGCTGACCATCCACTTTACTTAAATTTGCCTTTTTTTCCTCATCAGCCGAGCCTCCGAAAGCGACACGGGCAAATACATTTGTGAAGCCTCACATAAGGGTGGAACTTCATCTGCAGATGGCTTTATTAACATCCATGGTAAGGAAATTTGCCCTATCTTTCCTGCCCCCTCGATTTTCATTGGCTTCAGGTGGGTTGGAAGCAAATTTAGCAAGTTTTTTCGCGTCATTTAGAAAAGAAAAATCTATGTTTATTTGATATCTGACAGATAGTAGTGACAATGATGATACAATTTTAAATAAATTAGTAAATAAGGAAATGAAACAAGTTAATTATACTTGCCACAAACGTGTTGAAGACTGAGCCGATCCAGTTTCATCGAGCTCGGATAAGCTTTGAAACTAAAATTTCGTAGTTGTCGACCTAACAATAAAGGATGACTGTAAATGGCGCTTTACAAGAGCGCTGATACAAAATCTCTGCTGGTGGCTGAGGAGGGCTGGTGCCCCCCTTATCCCTCTTGAGCTCGGTGTCCGGTACCCATGGATCTGGGACTCGCCGGTTTAAGTTAATTTTTGCCCCCCAAAAGGCAACTAAGTACTTTGGCTGCGAGTTCCAGTGTTTCATTATGCCTGAATGAACTCAACATAACATCTTCCTGCCGTTGTCTCGTTCTCATTCCAATCCAGTACGACCCCGCGTGAGCGTGGACAGCGAGGAGGTGACCTTCCGCGATGGTGGAACATTGATGCTCACATGTCAGGCCCAGGGTCTCCCACCACCCAGGATCACTTGGAGCCTCAACGATATGACGATTGCACCCTCCTCTCCATTGACTGATAGCTACCGCATCTCCAATTACCAGCGACCCAGGATCTCAATCCGGAGGACCGCTTTGGTAGGGAGCAGCCCAATGTCTAAACACTCTGACACTATCGCCTTTGTATGGCAGTAGTCACTGCTGTGCTTTATTCTGGCAATCAAAATGTGATTTTGTCTTAGATCTCCTTAGATATACTCTATACTGACGTGCATTATCACCTTAACAACCGTTTGGTGACTTGGTGCACTGGATCAGGGCAACATCAACTGCAGTGTGAAGGGAAAACTGAGGACAATCGCTTAGAGGGTTACAGGTGGTTGGGGTTCACGAACAGCAGACCTCCAATACGCTTACATGTCCTATCCTATATTGTAGATAATGGAATTGGTTAATGTGGGCACTGCAGACCACAATCATGCCTAT